CCAGGTCACCCCACCAACTCACATTTGCTAGATTCCGGCCACCACCGTCAGAAGCTGGTTGAAATCTGGTATAATGACGCACTATCAGTTGGATTTGGCCGGTTGTGCACCGATCTAGCATTTTTCCGGCTAGATCCACCATGGATCTGGCCGGAAAAGGCCAAATCTACCACTAAAGATCTGGCCGTTGACGGCCAAATGCGGCCAGATCCACTGTAGATCCACTGTGGATCTGGTCAAAAAAGGTCATATCAGGGCACGACCAGCCAGATCTAGTCAGTCTTGGGCCAATACGGCGACTTCGGCCAACCTCCAGCGGTGGTGGCCGACTGTCGGTATTTAATGGGTGGGTGGGGGTATTTTTGTTAATTTTTAATATTTTATTATAAGGGTGTTTAGTAAATAAACAAACCTAAGGATGTATTTTTGTTAATTTCTAAATCCTACATCGTAATAACCACTCAATTTTACATTTTTCAAAATATTATTCTAAAAAGTATCATAATAATGAACTAAGTGCAGATTTTTTGCTTTTAGATTGTAGAATTATATTTTTATTGCCTAGGTCAACAAGAAATAAGACGTTTTGACTAAATTTATTTTGGGAGAATTTTTGGAAATTTTTTTTAATAGTTTTCCAACTTGGAAATTTATGAAAATGAAGACTTTCAGACTTGCTACCCAAAATACCCACTTAGGTACCCCTTAAGTGGGCCTAATTCAAAGCAATATAAAGTGGCTTGGATATACCTGCCTTCTAAACAAAGAAAAACACTTTTTGTATACCTTAGTTGCATTTTGATATGTGATTGCTTGTAGAATATATCAAAGCCTTAAGAAAGGATGACCCAGTATTGAAATAAGCAAAACTTTGAGTTGGAAAAGGCTTAAGGGAGAGTATATCAAAGCCTATGGTTAGTGTAAACTTGTATTAAAGTATGTCAGAGCCTTTGGTTAAGGAAACTATTGGTAGTGAATGCTACAGCCTTAAGGAATGCTGGACTTAGAATAAGAAGTGTCAAATCCTCTGGTTAGGGTGGAATTGTGGTATTTCATTTGTCGTATGGACTTGTTATTAAAGCATGTCAGGGCCTTAAGAAATGATGGACTTAGAATCAAGCGCCTGGTTAGGATGTACTTAGTGCATTAGAAACTTTGGTTTGGTGGACTTATGGTATTTAATTTGTCTTAAAAAATGGTGTACTTACAGAATAGGGCCATAAAAAAAGAGAAGAATTACGAGAGAGTGTCGACGCCTTCGGTTATGGCGGACTTGTGAAATGCTATTTTGCATTCAACGATAGTTGACATATATAGCTAGAGTATTTGGTTATGATGGACTTGTGGTATGTCATTACCTTAAGAGAGGTAGGACTTTTGTGTATAATAACCCAAGAATCAACGGTAGTTGACTTAGGTAGAGTATTTTAGCTCAAAACCTTGGTTGGGCCACTTTGACAAAAATATTATCAACAAAGGTTTATTTCGTTACCCTTAGAAATAGTTTAATATGAAAAATTAAGTCATTTCTACAAGGGGTTTTTGATACTTTTTATAGGGTTTTTTTTTTGTTTTGTTTTATTATTATTTTTAAGGGGTTTTAGATATTTGCTTTGGGGTTTTTGATAATAGTAGGAGACATGTAATCTTTTCTAATAACCGTATAGGCATTTATTGTTACAAATATGAAACATAAATTTGCTCTTTAAAAACGAATCCTTCAATTCAAGTAACAGCAAGAATGTGACGGTCTGATTCCCAATTATAAAACACTTACAAGCTTATAGTAGGTGGGGCTCAACATTATATTAGTCTAATAGGGCCCTCTCACATAAAAATTGGATTTTTTTTTTTTCATTTTTCTTTATCCAGTTGAATTCCTAACTTTGACTCTGATTCCATGTTAGTGGGATGACAACTTAACACAAACGACACAAACATGCACGCATAACAACATTGCAAACAAAAATAATTGAATTGAATTAAAACATAATTCAAATGAAACTAAACAGAAGATTGGAAAAATTACTTAGAGAAGATGCTTGCATGATAATGTGAGGATCATAGTGCTCGACTGCTTCATTCCCGAGCTCTCTTATTGCATTTAAAAATGAACTCAACAAAAGAAGTTTAATCGTCGGTGAAAGTCAGCACAACACTCTTCATTGTCGTATCCTACTAGAGAAGCCATAAATAATCGCAAAGTAATAAATATAATAATTTTATTAAATCACGTTACTTGTTTCGGTATAAAATTAATGAAAAATCGCAAGCAGGAAAAATAGATTAAGCATACAAGAAAAGAAAGAATGAGAAAAACTCAGCATATGATTGGGTCTTCAAAACCCTAAAGAGATAGTCGTTTTAGTTTTAGTTTTATGGGTTGGCGTATGGAATGTCCCTATAACAAATGGTAGCAGTTTGTGCTGTTATTTGCGTACCTACCGACTCTCTTCGTATTTTACCAGAGTGATTTTCAATGGACGCACGAGGTTTAGAGAAGTCGCTTGATTTCTCTTGTTGAATAATTTTGTGGAAAACTACAATTACCTATCGTACGTTTATTGGACTACGATGATCCACTGCATGTTTCAAAAACTAACAATAACGTAATATTTTATGGATCATTTGTTAATCTAGTTTTATCTCATCTTTAAGGAATTGAAGACACGTGACAATTATATCATCCAAAGGTTGTAATAAATTCATATAAAACATAGAGTTTTTACCAAATCAACAAACAGCTCTTTATGGCTATCCAATTTTTTTAAAAAAAAGTTCTCCATCATGCCGAACTTGTTGCCCCACTATTTATATTGATTTATGTTCTTTTAATATTTATATCACAATGATTTGAATGATTATAAGTTTCTGAACCTTTTTTTTTTTTGTGTATATAATCTTTCATCGAGATAACTGAATTTGTTGTTAATCTTTGGTGAATTAACGTAGAAACGGTGTTGCATTATCGTATACGAAGGCAATGTTTTCTAGAAAATATCAATTATCAAGTGGTAGAGTTCAAGTTCTAATTTTAATCAATTGGTTTTGTTTCCTTTCCGAGATGAGAATTCAATTGGTCAAGACTTTCTTCATTGATTTTAAAGTCTCACCATTTCTCTCATGACATATTATGCTGGAGATTTCTCAATTCCGGTTATTGTAGGTATATATATGCATAAATTCTAGCATCATTAATAGAGAGGTCTGCCTTCGTGGAGTCATCCCTAATTGTTAATAATCTTTCAAATTGAACAAAATTGAATGTAATTTTTGTTGAGAACATACCTCTTTTCGGTCTTGATCTTTAGCTACAACTTCAACCATGAAAGATGCAGATAAATTGGATCATTGCTTTGTTGTGATCTCTTTAAAAGTAGTACAAGTTGAATAGTAATTCTCCGGAGTCCGGACAGAGGCTGATGAAATTGGCTAGTTTTTGCTTTCCACATCAATCATATTCACCGCGAAGCCAAGAAAGCCAGGCGGAGACTCCCCATTAGGCAATCTCGGCTTTAGAATATCAAGCCTCCTATGTGGATCATCAGCTACAAACTCACCGGCAAAAGGTATAGAGAAAGAAAAAAAAAATTAGAATGTCTGCAGCTACAAGTCTATATAATTAAGGAAAGCAGAAGTCGAATTGATGCCGAAGTTTTCAAGACATATGACAAGAAATCGGTCATGTATTTATGGTTACTAAAACACCCTTTATTCCCCTGGTGTCAGCATTAAGGCTAGGGAATTAAACTTGATAGCAATCACATGGTTTTACTTGTCATAAAGCAGTTCAATTCAAACAATTGTTGACTTAGGGCAATTTGAATTATAGAGCACAGAAAAGTGGCATACCTTGCGACTAATTCTACCTGTTGAAGCTGATGGAGAGAGTCTCCTAAAGTGAAGTACTGCTGATCCTTCTGGACTAAGATTTCCATCCAAGGGATCAACAGCCACAGAATTTTCAGGTTCAACATCGAAGCTGAATTTACTACGTGCTTCCTGCATTTGTAGTCATAAAGCAGAGAATTATAAGGTCAAAAACAAATGAAAAAGTTGAAGCCTTTAGTGACACAGACTATCTGTACCTTTGAGAAAGGGTATTCCTCAGGCAAAGAAATTTTAATACTAATGTTGCCTTCATTGGACACACCACCACTACAACAAAAATGGCCTATAGTAACATACAAAAAGTGTTACCGTAGGTAATTCATAACATTTATAAGGATGCTATGACAACCCATGTTACTAAAAAGTAGACATTGGTAACACTTTTTGTATGTTACTAATCATTTCAGTAATTGTCATAAAATGTTGTTGTTAAGTATATTGTAACACTTATTCATAGTTACAAATGATTTTTGGTAACACTGCATAAATGTTATAAATAAGTTTTCTGTAACATTCTTCACCTGTTACAGTTTAATTTTCTGTAACATTCTCGAAATGCTATAAATAAGTTTTCTGTAACATTATTAACTTGTTACAGTTTAGTTTTCTGTAACATTGTTAAAATGCTACAGAAGAGTTTTTAATAACATGTTAAAAGTGCTACCAAAGTATCATTCATTATATTTAGTAAATGTTACAAAATTATTTTCCATAACATTTTGAAAGTGTTATCAATGTGTCTGTTATAACATATATAAAACTGTTATAGTTGTTATTTAAATAATACAAATTATAAATAATGATACACTAATTTTCCAAAAAATATTTCATTGATGGTGAACCTTAATTCATATACAAAAAGTTTGCATATATGCCTAATAAATAGGCACCCAACATCCTTTACATCCATAAAATCTAATATGCTTCATATATCATATCACATTTTGTAACATATAAACCTTCATATACAAAAAGTTTAATATATGCCTAACAAATATGCTTCTATCATTTTTACATTATAATACTTAGATGATTGGAAAATTAACTATGAGTAATAGTTAATACCTTCCAATCATTCAAAAAATTCTAACAAAAAAAAAACCATCATGCATACCATCTTCCATTCCAAATTGTGCTTTACCAAAAAAGTACTCTTGCATTTTCACAACCTACAAAACCATTAATACAAAAAAATCTTCAATTCCCATGTCTATTCTCAAAGATGACAACACATATATATTGTAAATTCAAGAAAAGATTAAGAAAAAAGCACCCCAAATATTTAATGCAAAAGAAAGAGGAAAAGATCAAGTTTAAATCTTCAACTTCACAATCACTAGTTCTAAAAAATAGCTCCATGCAAGTTTAAAAGAACATGTTTAAATATTCAACTTCACAATCACTAGTGCAAAAATGCCAACTGCAATTTTACAGACTGCAAACTGCAATCTACAATTTGCATACTACAGTCTATAAAATTGCAGACTGCAGTTTGCAAAATGCAGATTGTAGTTTGCAAAAATGCCAACTGCAAAATTGCAGATTGCAGTTTGCAAACTACCATGGCAGATTGTTCTATAGTAATATATAGAGCTTGTTTCATACAATATTGCACGCTAAATCTGTTGATTCTGCAGCTTAATTTTACTTGTATTTAGTAGCAGAAGCTTACTGATCAAGCTTGACTTTTGAACTGTGGGGCAAGTTATTGATAAAGTAAGGAGTGATGTGCTTCCCCAGTTGTCAACTTTTTGTTAATGCAGCTGCAGTCTATTGCAAATATTGAAAAAAAATGTACAGGGTTGAATTAAATTAATAAACTTATTAAACATAAATTATATATAACTTACAACTGTATCAAGGAAAAAAGTTTACCCCAGTTGCATTGATTTTGATAGCGTCTCATTCTTTTTAGGCTAGGGCTGGCTTAATTGGAGACAGAGAGGTGGGTGTGATTCGTACCCATTGCTGATAGTGTATGGAGGCTGGAAAATCCTGTTTGCTGCATTTACTAACCAATAATTCATCACTGGTAATAGTTTCAGAGTTATAAGATAAAACCAATATAGCAGTCATCTATCATTCTAAATATATGAACATTTTAGCAATCTAAACTGAAAATAAGGATTAAAACTTATGTGGTCATAGATATGATCAAAAAGAAAATAGTTTACTAGCAATGCTATCAAGGAGACAGCCAAATGATCAGATTTCCCTAACAGATCCAAACACTTCTAGCAATAGGTTTTAAAAAATGATGCATTACTGAAATTATCGTTTAATGACTTAATATAAAAGAAGTCACTCAAGGCATAAGCGCAGAAAAGAAGTCTACTATACCTTCATCTTATACCCATTCTCAAGAACTTTCAACAGTAAAAACAGCACCACACATGATCATGTGACGATTCTGCAATGAACGCAATACTTCAAAGCACTAGAAACAATATATGATTGATAAGAAAAACAGAAAACATCTGGATTTGTCTCTCACTCATTGAAATGACGAAGCAATTTACAAATATTCAGTATACTCCTTAAAAATTGACATGCAAACATTACCAATAAAACAAGATACAAGAAATAGACAGGTCACAAACTCACTATATGGCACCTGAATTGCTTAATAAGAATTTTACCAATTATGCAAATTGAAACCTAATCCAAACGCAGGAGGCCTCACTAAAGAGCACATTAAAAGTCCTAAAGAAACAATCATTTCAGCTACTTTTCTAACAAATACCACAACTTTACTGGCCTTCTTTTCTTTAAGAACATAAACGCTGGCCAAGTTGCCACTGAAACACTATCCCTCACTTGTATGCAATTAGCAACCTCTTATTAGCAATTACCAACAAACCTACCATATGTAGAGCCAACATCAAAAAAATTCAGTCAAAGAACCTTCCATTTCCAGTTGAATTGACAAGAGTAACAATGGTTATTTCAGACTAAAAAAGAAGACGAATTAATATGTTGAATATGTCTATGAATACCTTTTAGTCTTGTTTTTAATCTTTACACAAATGACCAAACATACCATAGATCAAGAAAACAAAGAAAAGCACCTGCAAAAACTGTGAAATAAGTCTTGCCCAAGAAATTTTGAAACTCACTTTCGCTAATTTTGCAGGTTGCTTCTTCACGCGCCCATTATTAAAGACTACGCCGATAGCCTTGGATTTCTCTTCATCCAACACAGGTTTTACCTAAAACCCCCACAGAGATAAATTAAAAAAAAAAAGTCAAATTACCGAATTAATAGCCAAGAAAAAAGCCCTTGAAAAACCCAGTCTTTGAGAAAAATTCAAGATTTAAATAAGCGTTAATACGTGTAAACAACTATATATTTATACCTTTTTCTGAAGCGGCTCTAATTGCATTGATGTTTGCATTCCCATGAATCAGGTGAAAGAAGGTTTCCTAGAATTCCTCTGTATTGAAGGGTTAATATGAAATTGAACAATAGCAGTCACCCCATTCAAAGCTTCATTCCACGAATCAAGTGAATGAAGGATTCCTAGAATTGGAAGACAAATTACAGTTATTGTTTATCAAGTATAAGGTCCTCATGATAATCACTAGCCAAGAAAAACCCACTACAATACAATTCCAGCTTTCACAATACAATTCAAGAAAAACCCAGAAACCCTAGACAAATGCAAGCAAAAAAAGAATAAAAAACAATTGTGAATAATAAATTTAATCACGGTCTTTAGGTTTCACAACAATGTTAACAAGGAAATTGAAAGAAAGTGATCGTGAATGTTTACAAATTAAGTGCTTTTCTTCAAAGCTCTCTTGACTTCACTGTGAAAGCAAGTAGTAATACTATGGAGAAGAAGAGGGGAACGGAGTTGTGAAGTCCAGATTTCAGGCGTACAATGGAGAAGAAGAGGCGAACACAGTGAAGAAGTCTAGATTTCAGGCGTCAAATGGAGAAAAAGAGGCGAACGGAGTGGAGAAGTACAAATTTCAGGCTAAAATGGAGAAGAAGAGGCGAACGGAGTGCAGAAGTCCAGATTTCAGGCAAACAAATGGAGAAGAAGAGGCGAACGAAGTGGAGAAGTGGAGAGAAATTTACGTTGCCTTAGGGTAAAATTACTTTTGGGGATTTTGTGTATCAGATCAGTGACGATGCAATGGAGAAGTTAGAGTGTTTAATTTTTCTAACTTTTTTTAATTATAAGGGTTAAAACAATTTTGTTTAATTAAGGATTTTGGGTTGGTGGTATTAAAGTGTTATTTTCCCCGTTAATATTTGGGTGTTGTAAAGCATTTTCTTGGTCCCTATATGAATGAAAAGTGACAAAATAAACCCAAATAATATAATTTGACCCCTAAACAATAAAAATGAGACAAAATCAACCTCATTTCATGTTGGTGGGAATGATATTTTGTTTCCTGTTAAATAATTGGATTTATGGTAACACTTATAAAATGTTACTGTATTTTGATTATATGGTAACATTATAAAAAAGCTACTATATTACTAGGTCTATTGTAACACTTTAAAAATGTTACTGTAGTTCTAGTATTAGTAACATTTTACAAAAAAGAGTTACCATTGATATAAAATGTGTTATAAAAAGTTAAAGTGTTACATATAAAAATAGTTATTGTAACATTTTAACATCAAGTGTTACCATAGATAGTCTACAGTAACACTTTAAGGAAGAGTACTACTTTCCAATGTTACCGTATACTATTTTTGTTGTACACCATCAACAACAATGGTCTGAGTGTCAGCAAATGACCGCCTCCTGAGGCCTTTTGGCAATTTGGATTTGGGTGCAGAAGGCTGAACTCCTTTTAGCTCTAAAGTAAGAAGTTCAGGCTCTTTCTTGTTCAAGTCTAGGTATCTTATGACACTATTGTTTGCATTAGCTATGAGAAGCTTTCCTGAAAATTGAACAGGAAACACTTTTAATAAGTAATTATGATAATTTATGCAAAGACACAGCAAGTTACAATCAGTTACAACTTCCACGTCAATTTTGATAACTGTTTGCAGCTAATGAAACACAGAAGATTGTAACACCGTTTTCTGCTTATGTAATTCCTGATGACTCCAAAAGCTGAAAGAAATAGTAAATGCATAAAAAGTGAAATTTCAGGCCATCCTGAAAGTTTACTTGGAGAGCGATATAAACATCCTCAACTTTCATTTGTGTTCATTAGGTTACCAAGGATGAAAGAGCTTCATTGTAATAATTCAAGAGATGTGATTGTAACAAAATTTAAAATATGAGATGGTACTTGGATTATGAAGTCTCACATTTTAATCTAATCACACATAATAGCTCAGAAATAGCATTATGAACTAATGAAAGAAACTCATTTTCAGTGCATTTGAAATTCCATATGGCAGGTAACAAGGCATTGCCTTCCTATTTGCAACTTGTTGCTAGATATTGATTCAACAAACAAAGTCTAACTAGTTCTCACGGTAGATGCATGTAACACATATAAGCAAACAAACTTTTTTTTTCTTTTTGGAACTAAAATTCCTTCAAAGAAACATATACTGAATTCTCAGCCACCAGTATACCAGAATTCAGTAAGGACACAAATTATTTTTCTAACCTGAGCTGCTAGGGCTGTTCCATCCTTGAAACCAGCTTTCCTAGTCCCTGCTAGGGTACTGACCCTTTTACTAGCTGGATCCAGCTTCTTGATCTGAAATTTCACCCAAACAGAGATGGAAAGCAAGAAGTTAGCTTTGATAATTCACATTCATTTTATCAGTTATGTAATCAACTCTCAACAGGAGTCCCCAAGTAATGCATCATCAGCATTCATGAAGCTTTAAATTTATCATCACAACATTCAACAAATGTCGGCAGGCTACAGTGATTTAAATATCTTTAATTAATATCGTCATCTATTAGCTAATTACCTTGTGATTGTAGCTATCTGCAATGTAAATTTGACCATCCTTCGCACAAAGACAGCTAGTGGATGTTGAAAAAGGACTTCAGATCCTGTTCCATCATGGTCTCCAAACTGTAAATCATACATTGCAAGAGTATTAGGAGAAAAGACAAAATGACATAAACAAAATATGAACTGTAAATCTTCTCCAATTTTTGTGAAAAAAATTATTAGAAACCAAAATATTTTTCCAAGATGAAACAGGCATCTTAATTTTTAAATTGAATTACCTTGAACAATTGTCTGAGAAAAAAGGATCACCACCAACTTGCAATCTTGATCCTCCTGTTTTTAGACTGAGTGCTCGTATGGAGCTGCCCTCACTATCTGCAACATAAATTTCTGCGAAATCTACAAATAAGCATGCATTTGAAACTTCAGATTTGATGACAGAAACATTTAGACTACTATAAAATGTTGAGAATATGAAATATGTCAAAATATCCCAGCATATTTCCAGGAGTTTATGAAATTCCGGACGGTTGTGCAAATGATGTGGTTGTAGAGCTACTTCAACAAAAAATCAGTACATCGATGCCAAACTTTCAAGAGAATCATACCAGTGGAAAGCTTAAATATAAATGAATAAAAAATTGAAATTAAGACAAATAATGCTCTAGTATAACACAGATGTATTTGATGAGTGCAAACAAATAGATAGACATAACTATATGAATCTTTTCAGGAGCTATAAACATTTAACAGGGCAGTCACCATCAAAGCTGAGGTTTTGTCCTTTCTCAATACAAGCTCATCCAAGTTCAGCTTGGACTTCAAACTGATCAAACTTTTCTTCATCAGCTTTAAATTTTTTTCTTTCTTATCAACTTAAAGGTTCCAATTTGGGGCACAAATATCCAAAAAGATTTTACACGTGAAGTATGAAGATGTAAAAGAAAAAAGAATCATCTGAACACTTTACTGATTATTATAATTCTTTGAATTACCGTGATCCATTCAAGTTCCTTTCATAACCATCGCCACTAAAATCTTTAGTAACTCCATCAAGTGTATTGTGTTCCCAGATATGATGTTGGCCAGCCATTGCAATGCAAACCTTCTCATTTATTGGCTCAAAACAGACATCCCATGGAGAATTGAGGAGCTGAAAAAAATGAAATAAAATTTTTAAATATCAAGAAAGATGTCAATTCAGTAAATAAAGGGGCCAAATTTCTTTATAAGAACACTAAGGACGCAACCAGAATATGCATCATTAATTCATGTTATCGACAATTTTGCCTGAGAGCTTCCCTTGTCTCCCCCTTGGTAGTCGGAGCCTTTGGTTCCATTTCCAGCAAGAGTTTGCACCTTTTCATTAACAAAATCAATCTCCCTACAATACAGGCATTGAAACTATTGAAACCTTTTCATGAAAGATTATGAAGATGATGCTAGTAATGTAATTCCTTTGTGACCTAATCCTAAGGATTAAAATCAAAACGTCTGAACATAGTTTTCTATTCTTTTCCGTCTGAGAAAACCATGAATACGTCTTGGGGAACTATGCTAAATGTAACACAACGCCATTAAAGAAAAAAAATCACCTTACAGTAAAATTGGAAATAGAGCCTAAAAAGGCTTCGAAACAATTTAAGGATAGTTTTGAACCCGCGATGTACCTCAAAGCATGGTTTTCAGCATCTGTAACATAAAGGATGTTTTTCTTTGCATTGTAAGCTAGGCCTTAGAGAAGCATGTGGCCACAACGTTACTACTTAGTACTAATTCATCCACATAAAAAATGAAGCATGAGATAACAAAGCTTGAAATGCATGCTTCTATTCATTTATATTGATTATAACTGCAGGTATTAACTTAATCCTTACTTCGATTAAAGGTGGCCTCCTGGAAGGATCCATCACATAGACCTTCCTCTCTTGAGCTACTGATTTGGACCATAAAATTCCCATCTAGATTAGAGGTGGAACAAATGGGCCGGGTTAGATGGGTCAACCCTAACCTAACTCGCATTAAGGAGGGTTCAATCTTGACTGCCTAAAAGACGGGCCGGATTTTTATATGGCGACCCGACGAGTTACTTTTTTAAAAAAAAAAAAAAAAAAAACACCCCACCAACCTGCCGGGTTGGGAGTTTTTCATCCTGGAGGGTTGGCCGTTGCAAACCAACGATCAACCCGCCGGGTTGGCAATCGACAACCCGGCAGGTTGGACCAAAAAAATTAAAAATAAATAAATAATTTTTTTTTTTTTTTGCAAATACCCATTTTACCCTTGAAATATAGCCGTTTTATAGTAGTTAGATGGGTCTTTTTCGTCATTTTCTTTTCCTATTTTTTTTCTATAAATAGACCCTAAACTCTCATATTTTCTCACATCACAAATTCTCTCATTCTCTTATTTTCTCTAATCTCTCAATTATTTTCTTTGTTGTCAATTTGCTCTCATTTTAATTTTTATTAGTTTTTGCAATTTTCAATTCATATTTCCAAATTCCTCCTTTAATTTTTTATTTCTTCTATATCAAATTTTTTTTTTTTTAACTACAATGA